TCGTCACATGGGAACGTTATTACATCAAAATGACGAAGATGAGCCTTTTAATTGTTGAAAAAGCAAGAGGGTATGAATCAGAAGCTTTTCATGCTATTTATCATCAATTCTCGAATAAGTGTTTACTTCATACACATACGGAAGTGGGTATTGTTCTTTGGTACCTCTGTGATGTAAAAAGAATATCATTCTTAGTGAAAATCTTATTGATTTAACCTTCATTTGCATACATCAGAATTGCCTATGGCAGTGATATGCCATCAAATTACTATGTCATGTAAATATGTGCAAAATTAGTAATTCTACCATAATCACTTCCAATTCTAACCAATCTAGATCAACTATAAGAATCTGAATTGGTGCATTCCCAATATCAGTTATTGATGACTGTTCTATTTATTGATAAAGATCGGTTTTTTTCCATGTAAGCTATTGATTCCCAGTAACATATTTCGAGTTTATGTGCGAAGAATGCTTCCGATTTATTTATGTGTCTAAAAATAACATGTCATTTGTTTCATGCTTTTGAAATTTTTTTATTGTTATATCCCCAACATATCCTTTACTTTTTTTTTATATCTTAATGCTTCTTCCAATCTATTTGTGAACTGTTCTACTGTAATTTGATTCCTACATATTGTTCTAATTTCCCTTCGCCATGCTGCAGCTATCTTATGTTTCATTGTACAGATTTCTTTTTCTAATCTCTCTAATGCTTGCACTAGCACATAAAACGGCAACATTCAAAGTAGACATATATTCATGCTGTGATTGTTGTGATTATTTATATTTTTCAAATTAACTGAAGACATGAGAAGAACTCGTTGTGAATGTTCGATACTTTATAATGTTAACATACTAAAGATAAGTATATGAATTAATACAGAGAAGTCAAGATAGATCAGAGTAAAATAAGATGAAACTATACAATAAATTCCGATTGAATCTGGAGGAAATAGCGGAGAGATTTCTGAGTAGGTGGCATGATGCTAATTTTTGAAAAGATGGATACCAAGATATAGACGGTAAAGCCAATGAGAATAGTAAATTGAATGATATGATGGGCTATACCTGCAATACTTCATGATGTTCTATCTGTGAGTCTAGAACTACATGGATATCGATCAACCTAGGATACAACGAGAATCGATTCAAGAAAAAAAACAATACATCATTGAACAGGTACATCACGGATTTTTTTGTATCAGCAGACATAATTATATCAAGTAATTAGATTAATTTTTCAATCATAGATTTATTTATTAATATTAAATATTTTGTTCATAATAGAAGAAAAAGTCAATATCGATATTTTGTCAAAAAGAGATAACTCATGTGATGTAAAATGATTGCAGTCAACACACAAATTTCGGGTTTTGAAGAATAATAATAGTTTAAGTTAATACGTAAAAGCAAATAAAAATAAATTCAGAACTAATCCAATATTGATCATAGATTTGAATAAAAGCTGTACTAGCAATGCCTAACAACTGTGAAATAACTTTCAGCAAAACTATATTAATTTCTGGAGAAAATAAAAGTTGATCAATAGTTTCCTCATAGTTCTTCCATTCATAAAAATCGAAGTGTTGCTTTTTTTTCTACAATAGTTTTCACATTCACACAATGATGTTCATAAAGTTCGTAGTGAATACGAATGTAAGAGCAAAAATATCATGAATACTGAGTTTTTCTTATTTTAGCAATCATAGAATTATGAGGAAATTGAGAAGAAATTTCTGTTTTTCAGCCATTGAAAAAGCATTTGGCGGTTCCAGCTCGCTTTTCCATAATATCGCATGCAACCTAAACCGTTAAATCATCAGATAATCTATTTTGACCCATGTTCAGTATTCCATTATTGAGATTAGAGACTTCACATATTTCTATACTTAAACAAAACAATATTATCAATATTTAATGAAATCTTTAATCTCAAAAATGAAAAAGTATAGATTTCTCAATAGATTTAAAAACTGCTATAGGTATCTGATGATTAAATGATTCATAAGTGTCTTATGTTCATAGTTTCGGCTCAATTCTCGGTTTCAGATTGCCAGAACCGCCGAATTCTATTGGAGAGTATGAAATAATCAAAACTTGATTATATTATTCCAATTATTTACACGAAGAGTCTTAGATGACACTTAGTGTGATCTGTACAGATAGTCACAAAAGCGTAGTGATCACAATAATGAGCTAATTGTTATCTTAATAGAACATTTAAAATACTATAGTTCTTTGGTCTTAAATTCCGACTGAAATATTAATTTTCTTTTTTTATATTTTTTATGTATCAAGATTATGATCATACAGAGGTCATGACTCACTAGAATTAACCATGCTTTAAAAGTTAACAGTTATTGACAAATATAAGTGATGCTGCAGTTTATGAATATATGGCATATGTTTTGATTTTTTTTTTATATCACCTTAGTCATAGATGCTGAAGTAATTCATTAATGATAATCCTTTGTCAAAGGAACCTATACACCATATTAAGAATGTAGAATATTACGGAGAAATCGACTAAAAATAAAGAAGATAAAGATATTAATATAAATATGGAAGATGACAATAACATGAAATAACTTTTATTAAGCATAAATATCTGAAACACTACTGGATATTATCTATTAGAGCGCTTAATAGACATTAAAGACGTTACTTTTCTGTATAAAGTTGTTGTCATGTGTGTGAAATACATAAATTGGAAACAATTATGTCAGACTTTTTTGTATACATATTTTCTTTCAACCTTTTCGTAAATTTATTTCCATGATCTGTTAGTAATAATGTACCATAAGATGGTCTATAATGTCTTCTAACAAGCATAAGTATGATGATAAAATAATAAATATTCAATTCATGACCTGCATCATCCGAGAAAATGTTTGATCTAAATAAATTTCGATATGTTTTTTTTTCATTGGTACCAAAATCAAGTCTGGTTTATCGCACCAAAATTCAGGTATATCTAGAGATAATTTCGCAAACATTGATGCTAATTTTCTTCTACATGATGTACAGATTCGGTACATATTACACTACTTTTCTCTATATTTCTATTTCTATTGTTCTGACTGACATGGATATGATTATAGAAGAGACACGATTAGTTCAGATTTGTCAAAATTTAAATCGAAACAAAAGAGAAATTGTTTTAAACTCTATTAGGAATAACTAAAAGTATGTGATCTTTATTTCAATTTGTTCGTCTTATTCCAAGTGATTTTCATTTATTATACAGTAGTCGCAAAAAGTTTCATCTAAACGTTAATCTTTTAGTCTCGTAGTTTGACCACAAATAGAATATGTTGAACTCTCATCACAAGGATTCAATCGACCTTCAAAAGAAGCTAGAAAATCAACATAGAAAACAAATATTACGACATTAAACACTTCATTCGACAGCTCAGTGGTGTTTCTATTAACAATAAAAATTCCATGGCAAACGATTTTCATTTGTCTGATTTATGAAGTCATATTTGGATAATCTCCACATGAGAGTTAACAGGTTTTGTTGAATGTTGACCAATATCTTCGAGTAATTTTAACTATTTGCTTTGAAACTTTCTTCAATGAGTATCCTGTTCTAATCAAGTTTTTTCATGAAAATTTCACGATCGCATTTATCGATAGGAAAGAGGTTCCAATATAGACATGTGAATCTTTATTTATTAGTCAAAATTGTTATACATTGATATACCTTTTACCTAATAGAGGAACTTCTCGTAACTACTGTATATATATATGAGATGAAATCAGTTCAGATTTTTCAAAATTTAAATCGAATTGATCCTAACTCTGCTATGAAAATCTTCTTGAAAAATTTTCAAGTTTAAATTAACATATAAACAATTTTGAATTTATAAATGATACATCAAACACTGACATACCGTGAAATTTTAACAAATTGAATTCTCTATCATTTGTCCATTATTGAAAAACAGAAGTAATGCTAGAATGAAATTCTTCTGTATTATCTTTGAATGGCAAATTGCTGAGTACTCGTTAGATATGTTAAAGTATAGGCGAGATAGATGTCATTTGAGAAGACATACAGAATTTAAAAAACTCTACATTTCTATTGTTAACAGCAGAGGTGCAGAATCTTCCAAAAATCCAAAAATTTCCCCCCACGCAAAAAAGTTTTTTGAAAAATTTCCCCACTGTATTGTTTTTGGCCAGCTGATTTTTCCAAAATTTCCCTATTATTTGAGTTTTTCAAAAAATTTCCCCCCCCCCCCCCGCCGCGCGGGGGCGCATGAGGAAGATTCTGCACCTCTGGTTAACAGTGAACTTCATCTTCACCAATAATATCACGAGCCCAGTAGTTCTCTCCAACTTAACAATTCTTGAACATATTTCTCTACTGCACTAACGATACACTTGTATCAATGTATATAAAGCACAACTGATAACTTAATCTTGCCATTGTTAACTTACTGTCTGCTAACAGTTAAGAAAAAATAATAAAGCAATTCACTTCATTTATAATCATGTATAACAACATGATAGTGATGATTTATGTAAAGATTTTACAGCCATCTTTCAAAGAAAAGTTCTATCAATTTAAACTCGATAAACTATTTAATAATATCATATTAAAATAAAAAGTTATGTCAATCAATCTTTTGTATTGTGCTACGATTTATTCACTAAAAGAATGATATGCATACATATTTATACATAAAATTACAGAAACTGGGAAAAAGTGAAACTTCTCATGATTTCTTCAATCACAATTATGTCTGTTGTGATTGGTTATGAGTCTCAAGAACATCGTCATCCGTTGTTTTTCTTTTCTTGTTGTCGTTTGCATGTTTTTTTTTTCTTGATTTTTTTTTACCTATGTTACACATTACCCAACAGAAACAAGCAGTTTTTATCGACGGTGTGTCTTTTTTTTTTTCATTTCTTTTCGCCGAAGGTTAACAAAAAGTTGTTTTACATTCTATTTAATTTTTCTCTTTTCAACCGACTATAACGTCAACAACATGGCGATGGATCAACTTAATAGAGAATTATTAAAACTGCTTTCACTTGGAAATGCCAATCAAAATAGCATTATTAAGCGATTTGATGAAGTTGCCAAAAAATTTGGAACTTACAGCTTAGTAAAATGGCGAGATTTATCAAATAATAAGAAAAATTCTTTACTGCACGAATTAGTTGACAGAAAATTACCTGATGTACTTCATCATGTTGTTAGAAACTATGAATTAGATATAAATATTAGACGTGGGTCGGATGGTCTCACACCTTTACAATTGGCTTCACTGAATAAAGATCAGCTTATGTGTAATCTTTTGAAACAGCTTGGTGCCAGTGAAATAGAGACTGAAGATGTATCGAGATGGTTGTCTGATGAAGATAAAGAAAAATCAATGAATATTGTATGGATTGATTTAGAAATGACTTCTATTGAAGAACCTGAAATTTTAGAATGTGCTGTTATTATTACCGATAAGGATCTTCGTGAACTAGATCGAGGTAAAGAAACTTCTATTTCGATACAGATCTTTCTTAGATAAAGTCGAAAAAGAAACAATTGAAAGGTTGCAAGAAGTAGAAATTTCACTGTTATCCTTAGTTTCCTTTCATCCATTGTTATAGGGCCGTACCCAATGATCTTTAGCTTTCCTCTGGTCATCGATCGTTATGGTCTAAAGGGAAAGGAAGTTGCAAAAATCTCAATTTAAATTTACACTCACTATCTTTTTTTCGAAAATACATGTGACTTCCACAAAACGAAACTTCATAGAGACGTTTGTAATAGTAATTGATTCCTTTTTTTTAATATTTTAAAGGTAGTTGGGTTATTCATTTTGATCGATCCGTATTAGCGGGACTTGGTCAATGGCATCAGGATACATTTGCAAATGCAGATAAAGGTGGGAATGATTTATTTGCTGATGTTTTGAAATCAAAACTTACAAGGGAACAAGTAGAAGAGGAATTATTAGATAAACTCCAACGTCATTGTCCGGCGAAGATGTGTCCACTAGCTGGTAGTTCGATTCATATCGATAAACAAGTTTTAAAACTTCAAATGCCGAAAGTTCACGATTATTTACATTATAGAATTATCGATGTCAGCTCATTTCAAGCGGTAATGAGAAGATGGGCACCTTGGATTGAAATGAAAATTAAGAAAAATTTGGCTAAACATGGTCAAGAAACGGTTAATCATCGAGCAATGGATGATATTGAATGGTCAATATCGTTCATGAAAGAATTTCGAGCATTTCTAACTAAATCAAAGTATGTTGATTTATTTCATGGTTTAAACAGAAAAATTAAACGGAATCCAAGCGAGCTGCGATAAGAACAATGATAGAGTTATTTTCACTATACTAAAGAAAAAAGGTTTACGAGACACGTTTGTTATTTTATAAGCTATTAGTGTGTCATTGATGAAATAGGATGTCAATTATTCATGCATAATGCAATCCATGAAAACGAAACGGATGTTAGACGTTCTCAAGACGCTTTCATAACACACTGTGTCTGTCACACACAGAAATGAATATCACGATCGGTAGAGTAGATGTACAGGATACAATATTTTTCTTTTTCGAAACTGTCATATAAGAAACAAAAAGCTAGATCGAAGAACGAACATATTGCACTTCCTTTTCTAAATTTCAAAGTTTCAGTTGCAATAAATTATGAAGGACATCATTGTACAGATTTTTTCATAATTGGCATAAAAAATTGACTATATTTACGGTTGAATGGAAGATTCTTGAGAATTTCTATTGATTAAAGAACGATTTCTGTTTGCGCGACTCGTGTTTAATATCTAAAAACCGCATTAAATAGATGATATAAAGTCTTGACAGAAACTTAAATAGTTCTGTTTGCCTGTTCTTTTAGTGATGTAAGTAATCGCAAAAATGAATTGCCGATAAATCGTCGTCGAAGGCGTAGTATGTCTGTATCACCGGTTCCACAAAACTATTCAGTTCCAAGAAATCAACAAGTTAATAATACAATGCAATTATATGGCGATGAAAAACGATTACTAGAGCGATTAGATCAAGAGAAAAGATTTGATGTACAAAGTTTGCACTTAATTAGACAAGACATACAAATATATGAAACAAATCCACATCTACGTGAAGTTTTTAGAAACGGAGAACAGTTACAAGTTTTTCCGAAGAGTTTTACTAACGAAATGCGTCTTCTTGCTGACGCGCCTGAACGGCTTAATCATCGGAACATCGATCCAAAAAAAATAAGCACCACCGAACATTGGGGACAAAGGAAATTGCTTCTAACAGAAATAGAATTCCTTACAAATTATGGTAATGATGGGAACTATTTAGTAATTTATGCTGGTGCTGCACCGGGTACTCACTTAGATTATTTAAGTTTATTATTTCCACAGCTTGACTTTGTTCTTATCGATGCCATGGATTTCGATATAAAGTCAACCGCAAGACTTAAAATTCGATCGGAATCATTTAACAAAAATTTAGCTTTAGAGTTTGCAAATTTGAAACGTGATTTATTATTTATTTGCAACGTTCACACATTCAATGCACACGCAAATCAACAAGATAATATTATGGAGGACATGGAAAACCAAAAGGCGTGGCATAAATTATTGAAACCTCACATGTCTTTATTAAACTTTCGACTGCCGTTTAAGTCCGGCAAAATTGAATATTTTAAAGGTAATCTTATCATCGAACCGTGGGCTTCGAAACGGGCAAATGAATGTCGATTAATTGTTAAGAAGGATCCAAAAATTACAGAGTACGATAGCATTGTATTTGAAGAAGCTCTTAGCAATTTTCACAATGTGACTAGAATCACATATTACGACCATAATATAGACTATGCTAAAAGTGAAGGTCTCGATCATTGCTACGATTGTCGAGCAGAAATCTTCATCTTACAGCAGTACTTGTCCAAAGTTCAAAATATTACCAAAGAAACTGATTTAATCATCAATATTGCTCGAATGTCATCCGACATATCGCGAAACATTGTGAATAAAAAAAGAGAACATATTCTGGGCTTTCCAAGAACACTGGACGTTATTCGAAAAAAAGTAACGATTGCTTCAAATGCATCAAGCTTCAATTTTTGAAAATAAATTGAAAGTTCTTCATTGGTAACATTTTTTTCTATCAATAAATACCGACATCATAATACATGTGATCATTTTCTTTTATCATTTTCATAAGCGAAAGAAAAATTAACACACCATAAAAAAATCTGTATTAGTTTAGGCATGAAGGAAACGAAGGTCGCAGACACCATTCAAACGTTTTTGCAACTGCAGCTGAATGATTAATTGTCGATGATACTTTGAAAAAAGTATATTTTTACATTCAACTTAGAGACATTTTCTCATACTTCTGCGTTCGATAATCACTATTTCCGTTCCATTAGATCAGGTGTACACAATGTATGTGTGTGCGCTGACGTGCATTGAGAAAAATTCTTGAAATAATTATTGGTTATAGAAAAAAAAAATTTTATAGAGGATATTAGAGCACGATATTCGTGCACAGATTTTTGGACTTATTTATCAAAAAGGACACAGTACGACTGTTTTTTTTGTCTCTGCTGTCATTCAATACATGTGTCTTTCAATATGTATGTGTTCGGATTCAGTTGTGATGAAACTGAATCGTTTTTCATATAAACTTTTTTCAGTATAATAGTTTTCGTTCCCTTCATGTATGTTCAAAATAAAGCAATTTGTTTTATTTTAATAACAGGAAAAATTCTCGAAGGGTTTTTCTTTGTGCGAACAAACTTTCACTTTATTAGCAGATTCAGAATCTCTGCATCTGATGATATCTCAGTGCGGTCCTACTATTATCAATTACAATGATTCATAATTATATTTAATATAAAAGAGAATATCTTGTACAGTAAAGAATAATCAGATATAATACAATTAAAAAAACTTGAGTTGTTTGTTTCAATAAACGATATGTCAATTAGTCGGCATAGGTAACAGAGTTTATTACAGATTAACTTTTCAGTGTTGAGATAATCAGAGATCGTCTGACGAAGCTGATGGCTATTTATTCAGAAGACTTTAACCAACATATTGGATAAATGGAAACTGACCATCGATATTCTTCGTCATTGAGAATTATAGTGTAAATAAGAGCTATAACAATTTTACATTTATGACTATTTATAAGAATTTATTTAGTACATAACACTCTTTTTATCTTTTCGGTTTCCAAAAAATATCTATTTGTTCAACAACACGAATTTTTTATGTACATGCTTAACTATACTTCAGTTATTTCAAATACAAATTTATTATCATTATATAATGATATCAATGTTGATGTATGGACTATGTCGCGCACTTCATTCTTCACTACAAATAAGTCTTTCGAGTCCGACAAATAATGAAAACAAAAACCTTTATAAAAAAAAGTGTACTTTTTACGATTTTATTTCCGTTGTATTTTGACACATCATTTTCAAAAAGAGTAAAGTTTTGAAGAAAACAGTGAATATGCCGTAAATCAAGATGATTTGCTGCATAGTACCTAAGACTTTCTAGTTATTTCTGTCCTATTAATATTCTACATCAGTCACATAAAAATTGCCTATTATTCTATACGACACTCTTCATACTAAAATATAGGAACGACTTTAAAGTATTTGAATTTTGTCATAGACCAAACTTTTTCTCAGAAGCAAATGCATATACAGAGCTATTGAAAAACATTGGCTATCATCATTTCCTTTTCCACTATACAGCCTAGTGTAAACAAAGAGAAAAGAACTAACATAATTGATGAGAGTACGTATTGATTTCATATGTGACTCGTTAAGATGATATTACCGTATTTTAGTAATTATAGAATTCTAGGCAACACTTTTCAATAAATACTAGTTGCAGAGTACCTTGAATTCAGTACATTCATTAGAGAACATGAAACAATATGTGAACTCTATTCCAACAATACGACACATCTCATAAATGATTCTTGAAAAAAAAAATACAATTAGAAATTAGAATATTGTCGATTTCTTATTCATAGATGAATTTTATATTCATGCTCAATAAAATTTTTATCTTAAATCATCTTTAGATAATACGGAATGTGTTTAATACTTAATCCTTGTCATCACGGAGTTGACAAATTCCATCTCGTGATGTTTATATTTCAGTGTATCGTTCATTCACAACACTTTCACTTGTTCTTATCTTTCCTCGCATGTGGTGTTTTCCCTTACTGTCATCTGTATTATCAGGTACAGGACTTTCCATTTCGCTATCATCACTCTTGTTGATTTTTTTCTTATCTTGTTAATCGTCATGGACATTTGCATCGCGTCCACATACATAGACAGAACATAATTTTTCAATGAAACATATTTCGATCTAGCATTTATCTTCTTCAATTTACAAAGTTAGCCTCTTATAGGGTTCACATCCTTTACACTTGTAAGAGATTTCACTCGACGAGAAATAGTAATAAGTAACTCAATCTATTTAATTGAATGCCTTATTTTGAGTTTGACTTTACTGATTTTTTTAAACTTCTATGTTCAATGACAAAGTTGAAACACTCAATAATCAAAAATTCGGAAAATAACGTACGATATCAGCAAATGACTTTATAAAAACAAAATGAGAATATATTCGTCATTGGCAAATTCCAAAACATTATAAAATTTCGTTTCACAGCGAACGATTCTTTTTTTTTTTGTGCATCAAAAACAGTGAATAAGTAAAAACGAGCTAACGAAACAAGCTGTAAAATAACTGGCTTGATACAATTTCTGTCAATACCTCTTCAGAATCAATGATTTACAATAATAAATAACTTTGAGATATGAAAATTAGTGCATGAGCATGGTGAAAGAATAGTTTAAATACGAACGAAAGATCCATTTTAAGTAGAAAAGATGACTAAATAAGAATATTTTCAAAACGAATGTCCAAATTTAAAAACGCTTTATTAATATAACGACTATATTGAAATGTTCAAAAATAACAATCAAATAATTCATTGAATAAATTTTTGATACTAATTATTCTTCTGCTGATTACATATGCCACCAATCTTGTATCAATCATTAACTAAAAAGTAAATATAAGACAACAAAAATTTAAAGAATATCATTGAAAACATATAAGACGTAGCTTTATTTAAAAATTCAATAGAATCTGAAAGTATTCTTGTATATTATAAATTCTTTAAATACAAAATGATTGTGTTTTGATTGTTTACATTCTTAATAAAAAGTATTTATCATAAATTATACTTTTCTAAGTTGACTGGAGATGTTTTTTTTTTGTATAAAATCACGTTTGATGTTCCCCTCTATACATCAAAGAATTGAACTGCTTATTTGTCACATTAGTTGAAATGATCAAAAATCTAAAAAGATGATGTAGTGAATGAACATTTATCTACTTAAAGATTAATGAAAACCATTACTTTGAGAAGTTATTCAAATAACTATTATGAATTTTGATACTTTTTTTGTCTGGTCACTTTTAATTGATAGTTATCAATATTCATTATAATAATAGAAAGTATGATGAACTACTTTAAAAAAAACATGTTATAGGAAGAACGGAGAGGATTTTCTTTTCTTGAGTATGATCTACATAATCATGCCAATAACCAAAGTATTAAATTCAAATATTTCGAACATATATATCATGAAGTAATCAATGGCATACTTTTTCTTTCAATAGATCATTTTTTGTTCTATGAGTCTTTAGATTGATTTACGCATTATTAAAAGTAAATATAACTTCCTATTTTGTATAGAACAGAAAAAGATTAATTATTAGAATATTTGGGAATAAGAACGACATGACTAAGGTATTTGATTAATGTATTAGTGTATGATCGATTTTTCTTTATACAAGTTTCTTTCTACTGTGTATGTTGGAAATTCTTATTATGTCATCAATAGAATTTTTTCATGGGTACAGCCTCGGGAAGGAAGTTTGACGAGTCATGAGTAAAAAGTTTTCTCAGCGGAAGTGAAAAACAAATAATATCCAACAATTTATGAATATAGTAATCGTTTTTTTTTGTGTTATAGCTAAAATAGATTGTTCGTACCTGAAAATTATTGTTGATAATGCAGACAAATATTTCACTATTCAAAGATGATTTCACTGAAAGTTCCATTTTTTGGGAAGAACTATCATTTCCTTTGTAATAGATAAATCATACAGGTATTGTTTTTCAATAGTTAAAGTTCAAGTCATAGTAACATGAAAAGATTGATAAGAAATATCCTATGTTACCATTATCGATTGAAAAAAAAAACAACATTGATTAACCGTAATTCGACGTGTAAATTCTCTTAACTCTTAGAAAAATATCAGATTTAAGTCTAAATCACCCTTCATATCATTTGTGAACGCGTTTAAGTCGTCTATACTAGTTGCATCAATTGTTCTGACTTACTTAATAAGTTTGATTATATATCCAACACTTCAAAATGACTCGTTAATCGTAAGAAAAAAAAACCAATAGATACACTTGTAGTATCATCTAAAAAAAATTGTCTTGTTTGAAATGAAATTGATGTTTTCACAATAGATGAAATCAAAGTAATATTAAACATATAAACAAACATTGGTATAAAACAAGTTAACTATCAAAAAGGATGACATAGTATAGATGTTGTGTTTTTGATCTAACTATATTTGTCAAAGTAATTAAATATTCAAACATAGACTAACAAGAAACCAAACCAACTCTAAAGTAGAAATTTCAAGATCGTTTATATAGATAAAAATTAAATTCTTATAATTTATGCAGTGTATATATTCTAACATTAAAATTATTTATTAACAAAAACAAAAAAATGTTGCCTTGAAAAATCAGGCATAGACAATATTTCTTTAAAACAAAACTAATTACGAGATACATTAAAAAAATAAATAAATTTGAGAATAGAGATTAATTATTAATTCTCATAAAACTTTGAATTTTTTGTCGACAAATAGGACATGATTTAAGTGCATATCCACAAGGAACACAAGCACATAAATGTCCACAAGGCATACATGCTAATTGTTTCTCTTCTGTAAGACATATTAAACATTCACCAAATGATTGTTTCATTGATAAAGATAAATTTTCTAATTGTTGAAGTTTTTTTGATGGTATTATTATTTTATCTTGACAACCTTTTATATGATCAATTTGTTTTTGAAGTATAAGACAAGCTATTGATAAATCAAGATCAGATAGAAAATCATCATGTTTTATTTTTAATTGATCTTCAATACAACGTTTAATTACTTCTAATCGATATTGAGAACGAAGTTGTTCAACAATAGGTAAATCAAGTCTTGCTGAAATCATTTGTCTAAGTTCATTATCAGAAATATTATTATTTTGTTTTATAATACGTTTTTTTGTTTGTTGAATTTTTTTATATAAATCATCACCACATAAATGTTTAGCATATGTACATTGTGGAAACCATCGTGCATGTTCAATTATTGGATTATCATTTGAACTCCATTTATGTAATGATCCATTACAATAAAAACATGTTACTGCATTTTCAATACCACCAAAAAAAAATCCAGCACGTACTAAATTTTCAATAGTTGGTAAATTTTCAGTCCAATTTAATTTTGTAAATGTTGCTTCTCGATGAGATATTTCAGCCATTTTTGGATGAATTGGTTGAAATTTTTCATTAAAATTTTCATTTATTATTTTTGGTGAATTTTCTATTGAAGACATTGAAAGTACAAATGGACATTGTGGAGCAAATCTTCTATGAACTTCAATTGGATCATCATTTATTGTCCATCCTTGACATATTGTATTACAATATATACATATAACTCGATCACTAACATTACATGAAAACCAACCAGCAGATATCATGGATTCTAAACTTGGTGTAATATGTAACCAATGAGATAGACTACGTATTCGAACTTGTCGTAATGATTCAGATTCATTTAAAGAATATTTTTTTTCAATAATATCTTCTTCTTTTTTTGATATATCATTTACTAGACTGATACATTTTTTATGTTCATTTACTTTACTTACAGTACATTCCTGATTTTCTAAGTAAGACAATTTTGTAAAATCTCTTGTTTGAATAATATCAATGTTAGCCATATCTATAAGATATAAATCTTTTCTTTTGAAAAACTAATGATATTTGACCGTATATATATATAATAAAATAGTTTTCTTTTGGAAATTTCTCATTAAATTTTACATTAATAAAACTAGGTGCAAAACGTCAGAGGAAAAAACCCTTCTATATAGACGTATGTGTCATGTTTTTATATCTTATTGCTACAGAAAGGAAAGAAAAAAAAATATAATTGCGTATGTTTTTTTTTTGTTCTTGATGAGTCTCGTAGAAGGAATGTTTTTTACTTCTTCTTTCCAAATTTTTTGGCCTAGTTAGGGACTTTTAGCTTATACTTTAATCCCATGTGTCACAAGTACCTTTCCTAGTACATAGTAATTTGGAAATTATTCTCAATCATGTTGGTAGTTTCTTCAGTATTTTAAAAATGAATGTTCGTTTATTAATTTAGAATATTATATCATTGAATTGTTTCAATTATAGTTGTTTTGTTTTTGAAGAAATTTTATTCAAATCTAATAATTTAAAAAAACAAATCGTTTTATATTTAATATCATAAATTTATAACATTATCATTTTGTACGAATAGTCGAATATTATCGATGATATGATGTTGTTTTTTTGTTTCAAGGGTTTGATGTAGTAACAGTTGACAAACATAAAAAAAAATTTTGCGTTTTTCTTTTTCATTCTATGAATCGTAAACATTCATTTTTTTCGTCAAACGATTCTTATCACAAAATTTATCGAAAAAAAAATTGGTTTTTATTTCTATGTCATCCAATCTTTTGCAAAAAAAGAAGAAAAAAAGAGCACATGGCAAGGTAATTTATTATTCTCCATACACGTACTACCTATAATAAAAAGGGTATTTTTTTTTTACATATGAAAGCAAAGAGTGAAGGAAAACAATTTGACACAATATTATTTTTTTTATGCCAATACTTCACCTATGAAAAAGAACAAAACAACATTACGATCGTATTTTATATGTTACTTGAAAATTTCCAACTGAGACCTTGATATTGATGAGTTCCGTCATTTGATATTTATTTCATATACTAATCAATCTACGTCTTTCATTGACTCGTACTTGGAAATATTCACATAGAGAAGAAACTATGAAATCAAATAATAATTTGATATGAAGAAAATATGTATAAATTGATGCATATGTATCATCTATTCACAATAGTCAATTAAATTAAAAATAAATTAAGCATGAAAATCTAAAATTAAACTATAACGTTATATTTCCTTCTTAGAAAAATACATCATAATTGTATTCATGATTATTATTTTTGTTGAGTACAAAACTATTATTATCTTCTTTGAAATGTTCAATTACATAATTTATGATATGCATTTCAAATGAATTGAACTATTATTAATATAAATCTGATACTACTAATATGATCTGATATATAATGCTTGAGACGATCCATTAATGTGTTCTGAATCAATGCTAAATTAATAGCATTTTTTAACCAATGAATAGTACTTTTTGATTGTTTCTATGTAAAATTATCTTTTTGAGCAAAGTACAAAAAAAAACAAATTTTAATTTGTGTTTCAGAAAATTGTTAAATTGAAATACTATTACTTTCATATCTATGAGCTTAAATTGAACGAAAAATTATTGAATCGTCAAATATAAATGATAGAATAGTTAGATATTTTGTTTGAAAATATTGGAATTCATTCGTTGTATTATCTTGTCTTTTCAATATGTCTTAATGTTTATTATCATTCAGAATAGATACATTACATTTCGAAATTGTCACATGCAATAGTTTACAACAACTATGTAAGTCTTTTAGAAACTAAAACATTAGCTGAATTATTATTCAATCAATTCAAAGTACATATCTCGATTAGATAAAATGTCGATATCATTGAATGATTGAAGATAGAAAGATTTTATTAAGGACATATTTGATCTTAACCAGTGTACGCTTAATTTGACTGATTGATCATTATTTCTCTACTACTGTATACGATAGAATCGATTATCAATACTCATTAGTTTTCAAATATTTCGTAAAACTATATCAACCGTGTGTAGTTAATGCCAATAACGTCAATTTATCTGATCTTCTATATTTCATTAATGACAGTTGAAGATAGTAACACTATTGGATAGACATATCCTGATAAATCTAGTAAACTGTAAAAAAAAGTCAGATAGAGATGCTAGAGTAAATATTCTCAATTTTTTGAAAACTTCTATATGATGCATATGAATACACGCTATACGAAATTATGAACAAAGCTTATAGTAAAAGAAGAATAATTTCAAACCTTTATATTACATGTCTCTTTGAGAAACTTCTGTACATTGCAAAACGAACGACCTATAAAATGAAAACAGTCAAAGAATTTTCTTCTTGAAATTCTTTTTCATAATATATTTATTGTTGCAACATTTCACGATAGATCTAAGCAATTTTATTAAAACAAAGGTCAAACTATTAATGACAATGTTTAAATTAAGATTACTTGAAACTTTTTCAGACAGATTGATAAATCTTAACATAATTTTACATTTGTCTTAAAATGACATCATGACAAAAAAAAAAAACGACAATTTCATTTTCTTTTCTTGTAAACTTTGCGAAGACACATTCCACTTCGGAAATTTGTGAAGACTATATGAGACTTAGAGAAACTTTAAACATTTCTGAAGGTTTCCAGATTTTGTGGAATTTACGCCGCTAGTCTTTATTGCTTCTCTTTCAAGTACAACAATATGAATGACAATGTGTCTCAATTCTGTTATTCATATACCATACATAAAACATAACTAAATTTCATATATCCATACTATCATTAACTGTAGAAGAGAATCTCCAGTCTTATTCTTTCTTATCAAACAAATATCTGTTTCATTAAAAAAAAACTTCAGTATGGTTGCTGCAAAACGTCCATGAAAATATAGAGAAACAGCATATCACTGAATAGAGAATTGAATGTATTTTAAAAATCATCATTTATTTGGAAGGAAGTCACCAATACACTATCAACTTTTTCTTCGATTTCAATGAATTTTGTGCCCGCTGAAGAATTTCTTCTCGTATCTGATTATCGTCTAAGTGGCATTCGATGAGTGTCTATGTTAGGTGAGAGAAGAAGCATGTAATGGTAATAAAAAATAGGATAGTTACTTGGTTAGTTTTTAGAGCTTCAACAATATATTGCATGCCTTTCTGTCCGAAATCATTTTTACTGAGGCCGAGTTTGATGAGTGTCTATATGAAATGAGAGAAGAAATCTATAGTGGTAATAGAAAGTGAATAGTGACTTTGTTAGTTTTTAGAGCTTCTGCAATATATTGAGCCCCTTGTTCTCCCATTTGGTTCTTCTGAAGACCAAGCTCCATGAGTGTCTAAATCAAACAAAAGAAGTATTGGGTGATGTTATTGCAAAGAGCATAGTTACTGTGTTAGTTTTTAGAGCTTCAGCAATATGTTGAGCTCCTTGTTGTCTGATTTGATTTTCCTGGAGGCCGAGTGCAGTAAGTGTCTATGTGGAACGAAAGAAGAACTTATTGATGGAAACAGAAAAAGAAACTTACTTTGTTAATTCTTAAAGCTTTAGCAATATGTTGAGCTCCTTGTTGTCCGATTTGATTGTTTCCGAGGTATAATACACTAAGTGACTATGGAAAATGAAATAGGAAGTGTCTAATGGTAACAAAAAGAGAAAGTTACTTGGTTAGTTTTTAGAACTTCAGCAATATGTTGAGCTCCATGTTGTCCGATTTGATTCTCGCTTAGGCCGAGTATGTTGAGTGTCTATGTGAAATAAGAGAAGGTGTATGTGTGCTAGAAATGGAAAGAGGAAGTTACTTGGTTAGTTTTTAAAGCAGCAGTAATATGTTGAACTCCTTGTTGTCCGATTTGATTTTGATAGAGTTCAAGTAAAGTGAGTGTCTGTATGAAACCAAAGAAGAGTACGTGATGGTAATGGAAAGACAATAGTTACTGTGTTAGTTTTTAGAGCTTCAGCAATATGTTGAGCTCCTTGGTCTTGGATTTGATTTGCTTTTAGGTTCAAATTAGTGAGTGTCTATGTGAAATAATAGATGGATTGTGTTATGGTAATAGAAAGAGAATAGCTACTTTGTTAGTTTTTAGACCTTTAGCAATATATTGAGCTCCTTGTTGTCCTATTCGATTTTGTTGAAGATTGAGTTTAATTAGTGTCTGTGTGAAATGAGAGAAGAAAATGAGATTGAGGACGATATCACACTAACATAAGACACATCTATACGACGAGTATGAAGACAGAAACGCATAAAGGAAGCAAGATCTGGCAGACTCTGACAGATTGTCAAAGGTCTAGCTATATCTTGTCAAAGTTTCTATGCTTACTAAACCATGATACAACTATGCAAGCCTTTCAGATAAATCTTTTCTATGAAAATAATAGAGAAAGTTCCAGTTATTGTGTAACTAGCATGACTCCCCCCTCCGGATATTGCATGTGGCACTTTTTTCTAAGCGCAGTGCTTTAAGTTTCATACATTTGGGCAGGAGTTTTCTACCTCTTAGTCTCACTGTATACACTCACTTCCTTGTGCGTATTTCGTACGATGTATTGTTGTCTCTATTCACCGAGTTTCTTATATTGTGTGAAGTTTCATAACATTCTAGAATCTTGTTAACTTTACATTGTTCTGGAAAACCTCAGAAAATTCTAAAAATATTTCACCATTGAAAGTTGATCCTTAACCATTGCCTTCTGACCTTCAACCAGGACGTACGATACCTCATAGAAAGTTCTGGAAAATTCCACCAACCTTTTGTTTTTTAACGTTTGACCTGGTGATAAACGGACAGACAACCGTATTTCATTCTAGAGGTATGAATTTTTCTGTTTGTTGAGCTCTATTTTATCGGATTAATTAAATGCATTATTATGAGTTAAAGACAGACCTCCTGTTTGCATATTATTAGAAAAAACGAACATGAATAATAAGGTTTACAAAGATCACTGAAAGTATTAATATTGGATAAATTTTGAAAGAAGTATTAACTGAACAGAACTTAAACAGAATAAGTTAACTTCACGCGTTAATGTCGGCCTATTCTTTATCAAAACTTGAATCGTGAATGATTGGTTTATTAAGGATTTCTAAAATGGGTACGGGTACTTTGCAATTTCTTGTACTAATGAATAACTTAAATGAATCTTGTTTTGTCGGTAAGTAGTGATAAAATGCTGAACAGACTCACTTTGACATGAAAACTTCAGCACCTTGAATGGAATTCATGTAGGAGTCTTTTGTAGCTAACAGATATAGATGGAGAGGTGTTGTCATAAATTAACGAAAATTTGATGTGCTCTCTAGTAATTATTGTATAGATGTAGTTATTAAGAATCGCTAAGATTCATTTTTCTATGTAATAAATGACATTATTCATAAGATCTACTAAACGAACTGGTTACAGCCTGTCTTAACAACCGTATGATCCGAAAGTAAATATCAATATCACCCTAATCGTAATTCTTTCCTGAGGAGTATTGCAAAAGACTATCGTTTACTATTTGCAAGAACAATTAATTTTGATTTGGATAACGTATAAAAATAAACTTTTAAAAATGGTTTTTCTGAAAAAATGTAAAAATTAAAAGTCATCATTAGAAATATTTTCAAAGATCTCTGTTTGAAAAATATTCTGCTTTATGAAGAATTTTTCTACTCAAGAAAAGATACTACGATTCATGTTAAGCTTCAAAATTAGACATGTTCTTATTTATTTTTGAAAGAAAATAACATGAACTAATTACATTGTAATCTGTTTGAAATTATAAATTAACACAGAAGTGTGTTAATTTTTATTAACACATAATTCAAAAAGATATTTCACTTTCTATCAAGTAGCATTTTTTTTATTCTTTACTAACATATGTTTAATAATGAGACAAATACTTTTCAATATCTCATATATCCTATTCGGAAAAATACATTCTACAAATCTAAGATTAATCATAGGTTGTCTCTTTCGTGGGACTATTATAGAGAAAAATTTTTAGTAAGCTAATCGATGGAGACTTTTACACAAACAATGATCAATATCTTCGTTTTGATTATCGAGAATTTTTGTCTTTCTATTTTAGAAAATGAAGCCAAGAGAAAATAAATTTTAATGATGTTTGACATTGCAATGTTTTTTTCTTTGTAAAATCTGATGATAAATCTCACTTTTATGTTCTCAGAGTAGTTGAACTGTTGCTCTTTGAAACATAATAAACTAAGTTTTCATCATATTTCTAGGCAAAAAATTATGATTTCTAATTATGGACACTTATTCTCCTATATTAATTTAGACATGACTATAATAATCGTTCAACTATAAAGTTTAAAGATAAGATAGCCGTGCTTCTCGAAAACATATTTTTAGAACACTTCTCTCTCAAAAACATTGAATATGAGAAGAATGCAATACGATGAAGATATCAGCCTCGCCTGTGTTCGTATTTCCGTCTTTATTCTTATTTTCGAACTATTCAAGAAAAGCTGTAGTTCTTAAGAAATATTTCTGTACCGTGCTATTTCGTAACATATCAGCAACAAAGATCATATCAGAATCGGTTAAATTTCTAAGCTTTAAATCAAGTTCTTGCTTTGTTCCGTTTTCACTAATGAATTTTTCAAGTTGCGGATTGTGATATCGTGAAATTTCAACATATTCTCCACATTGAAGAATTTTTTCTTTTACACTTTGTAATTGATCGACTCCTTCTAAAAAGTAGTCAGTTACAGGTGGCATTTGTAACGATTTTAATTTTTCATTTGTTTTATTCACATAATCATCAAATCTTTCTTTGGCTTCTAATAGTTTTGTACGATTTCTCATTGATGAAAGCATTTCAAACGATACTTTTTGCATATTCAGACGTTGCAATTCATTCGTCAAGGGAATTTTATAATCTTCAATTCGTTTTTTTTGTTCTTTTTCAGTATAGAAAATATTTTGTAATATGTTCTTCTCATGATCATCCATAACCCGACGTATTTCTGCCATAGTTTCAGTCATTTTTTGTCGACTAAATTTACTATTATTATCAATTATATTTAATAATATATCTGTTTCATTGATTTTATCGTTTAAAGAAGATTGAATACTATGTAAATCAATATTTATCTATATCATAAAACAAATACAATATTATACTTTCTTATATTCTATAGAACTTATGCTAACCTTAGTTTTGAATCCTTGTATGGCATCATCTAACAAAATTTTATTGTGATCTTTATGTTGAAATAATAGACAATCAATACATATAAGTGTCGAGCATTTAGAACACCAATATTCCAATGATTTCTTCGGATGTGTTATACATGGAATGGTTACCGGTGGGTTTTCATGACTGGAGACACGTTGATGTTTTTGCATAACTGGAGCGGCATGAGCAGTTTCATAACATGATGAACAAAAGTTTTCATTTTCACATTTGTTACATGCATATATAGCATCGGCTGAGTGACAATTAGTACACCGATTCAAATCTTTGACCGAATCTGAAAGATGACTATAGTTAAGCAACAATAAGATATGAAAAACATGTGAAAGACTATGTATACATGTACAGAAAAGCTTCGGTTTTCGAAAAAAGAAAACAATATTTATTTTTATAGTATTATAAACTATTTTGCTTACCGTGTAATTCTACTAAATCACGTATTGCTCGATTAAGAGGTAATGAACTGATGTCTTCTTTCATTGCTACAAATCCATCTCGTAGTGGACATTCAAATTGGTCTTTATTCTCAGAAGCCATACGTTCAATGCATTCCCAACAATAAGTGTGCCAACAAGGTAATAGACGTGGATCCTTGAAAGACTCACGGCAAATCATACAAGTAATTAAATTTTCGACAGTAACACTTCTATTAGTTGCCATATTAATGGATTGATAATAAGTATATGTAAGATGAAAGATTTTGAATCTAAAATGGATAAAGTAACACTGTGATCCGATGAGAATTTTCAAAAATCAAATTTACATTTAGTATCACTCTCCAGATTTACATTCTTGATTTGCTAAACGTCTGAGATTCTTATTATGGCAGTAAATTAATTGAACTTTTTTAGTAAAATGTGACTTCGTTATACACTAATACTACCTACAAGTCCATACAAACATCGTTCATATCTCTGTGATGACGTAATTGCTTAAAGAACGTGTGCTTTAAAGTTGAAAAAATGACTACGTTTATCTTTTTTTCCAACTATGACTAATAGGATCACAAAAAAAAGAAATAGAGTAATGTCAGCCAACTGGTCTTAAATGCGAAGCATTACTAATTTAAATTAGTTTCGATCAACCACTTGTTAATATTGATTCCATATTTGTCCTAAGAAATATGGCCTAAGCAATAAGCTTTATAACTTTCTTTCGATTCAGATTATCTTCAGTCATTCGAATGTTATTGAAAAATGACTATAAGTAATCGAGAATATTACATTTACATATATGATTCATTACAAAATGGGACACATCCAACACGATATTAGATAAGATTTGTTAATAATATCTAGTAAAAACGATGTCGGATATAATCATATACTCCTATAATTCTCGTATAATGTGTTCAACTAGATATTGTGAAAATTCCGATCAAAATATGATGGATAACTACCTAATATTCAAATAGAAAAAGACGTTGACACCTGGTGACAATACAATTCTCTCTTTATTTCATCTTTTACTCAAAAAAAAAAAAAGTGATTCGATCGAGGGTTTTTATTGAATTTTTCGAATACCTAATGTTGAGAAATGTCATATTTTTTTGAGTAACGTGTACGAAAAAAAATAATTATCATATGGTGAAACAATTCAATTACATGAAAATACACATTTTGTTCAAGTAAACCCATTGTCATCGTTATGTTTTTCGTAAATCTTTTGAATAATACTAGTGAAAATGTATAGGTCTAAGTGCATTATATAAGAAAACATTATTTTAGACTAGAAAAATAATTATCAAAAAATGCTGTTCCTCAAAGGCAACGAACTTTTTAATGTTTTTTTTTTTTCACATTGTAAAAATTACATTGCATGTTTTGTTGTATGCTTACACAAAAATCCTTTTTCTTTTTGTAAATACTGGGTGCATTATGCTTGATAAGCGTTATCAAATCTACTGTAAAACGAACCTATTGTTATCAACTCCTTTCGAGGTTTTTTTAATATGGAGACACTTAAATAGGAATCAAGAAAATTTGAATATGTATATATATATATATATACACTAGACTAAAGTTGAATCATACATTTAAATCTGGATAGACAACATTTCTTATGATGATCAATTGGATTAGACAATAAAATCAGGAAAAAAATGTTTATTGAAATTTTTTTATTTTTCCATAAGGCTAAAGTTCGTTGTCTGATTCATACTGGATTTTTTCTTACCTTTAAGTAAATTCTATGATACGTATGGAGTTTCGTTGTCTTGTATTCTATGTTTTGAATAAACTCAAATGAATAAAAACTATCGAACCACTGCTTTATATTTAACAAAACGAAACCGAATAGGAAAAATCCTTTTATTTTTATCATAAATTTTGCACGTAGATGTTATCTATTTATGTATTAATACTTGATACATGGATATATCCATCTTGTTTTAATGACGAGTGGAAAATGAATAGAAAGTTTCTTTTATCATTCCAAAAAAGATAGATGAAAGAATTTTTTCAGTCTTTCATAATAATAAATTTCGTGTAATTAATAAAGAAACAAAAATCAAAAACAGTAGACTTGCATCGTTTTTTTTTCCATTCGAAATTCTTTTCCCATGAAATTTTAAGATACATAATTCAAAAAGATGGTTTTAATCTTTAGTTTAACTTAGTTCGTGTGAGAAATGCTGAAAAGACAAAATGTATTTATTGTATCAGAACATTCTGCTGTATCACATCTAGCAAAGATATGCAACAACATGGTAAAACTGCGTGAATATGTACAGGACTTCAATATCCATACGCGTAAACTCCTAAGATTAAATGAATCTCATTTATTAGTAAGACCAATGATTGTCCAGTACAATAATGTTAGTAGTTTTCGAAAACATTTTTTCGAATACTACGCTGTCTATGAAATGGTTTCTGATCGTAATGGACAGTTGTGATATATAAGACAAGTTAGAGATCAATTTAAGTGTTTTCTGTGATGATTCGCCTCACTGACTAAGCTATACGCAACTCCATTATGTTTATATCTATTTACATGCTTAGACCACTTATGAATGGTACATCTATCGGTGGAGTTTTCGAAGTTTTCATCGATTGATGTTATAGTTCATCAGTGGTTGTATGAACACAGGAGAATGATCATAAGTAATAATTCAGCGTAAAGTTCGGTTTTTGAGGCTTTTAAAGAATCTTACAGTCTATGAAATATTTTTACATACATGCATTGTACACCATTCGATGAAAAATACTAAATTCTATCATTTGATGAACGGTTCATGAGTAACGTATGTATTCAGATAGATCGTCAACAATGTGACGGAAAGTACAAGCTTTTCTCTATGTGTTTTATTTTTCACTCGTTTACAATTCAATATTTATCAAATCTAGTTATGACAGGAAATAGAGGTTATCGAATTGCGTATAACTTGCCAAGTCTGTTCTGTGACTTGATCATTGAGACGAATAATTACAGAAAAAATTCGAATAACTAATAATTTTATATTTTTATCATGTAACATGGTTGTTTCTTAATATTTTTGCAATAATACTGTCATAGGAAGTACATAAAACATGAAATTATCTCACACCCTTCACAAACGAAAAATAATTAAACAAAAGAAAATACAACGAAACTAGGAGATTGTAACCCATGAATAAGGCGACACTTTCTTGGTACATAGACAGCTTTCAAAAAAAATCAAGTTTTGTCAAAGAAAGCAAAATCACAGTATTTACTTTTCAGAGGTGTCAATACTTCTTGCTTTTTCTGATTCTCAATTACGACGTTTAGATCTGACATATTGAAAAAGTTTTACAGGTGTTTGTTTATCAATTTTCTCTTTTCGTATGAAAAAAATAAAATACTTCGGTTTTTTTCTTTCTCTTCATCAATTTTTTAACACATATTTTGTTATAGTAACAAGGTATTTTCATATATGATTCATTCTGTGATTCAACTACTTCAATTTCTAAGTAACGTTAATGTGTTAGAACATAACTTTGATGTTTACAAAATGTGATGACTGCTTTTAGAGAATTCTCTAGTGGTAGACGAAAAAAAGAAAGCAAAATCATGCAAGTTTAAAAAAAAGGAAATGAGTCAAAATATGTTCATGGAAAAATTTATATTCATATAATCTTGATCAAATCAATTCAAGCAATGAAAAATATACAATGTAATACTATGATGCTATTCTCAATAATTATTTTCTATAGTCTAATGAAATCAAGTTATCAAATTGTTTATTCATGCAATACAAGTGATTCATGTGGATGTTCAAGAAATTCAGCAATATTGACTAAAATTGTTGGAGGAGAATCAGCTGGTACAGCGACATGGGGTTGGGCTGTATCAATATCTATTGCAGGTAGATATTTATGTGGTGGATCTATTTTGTCAAGCTCATGGATAATTACTGCAGCACATTGTGTAAAAGATACGACAGCATCTCAAATTTCTATTTATGTTGGTTCAAATATTCAATGGACTGGTAGTCAAAGTCGAGTGGTATCACATGTCTATGTACATCCAAATTATAGTTCAGTTGGTTATGTTAATGATATTGCTCTACTTCATCTTACTTCTCCATTGACGATGAGTGATCCTAATCTAAGTGCTATATGTTTAAATTTTGTTAATTCAACAATACGAATGACAGAAGAATGGCCATCAGTGAATACTACAGTAAATTATTCTTTTCTGTATAGAACAGTTATTTTAGTTAGTATGTTTATTAGGTTGTAGCTATCGGATGGGGTACTATGAGTGAGAGTGGTTCATCACCAACAAGTCTTCAGCAAGTTTCTTTGAAAATTATCGATCGTCAAGCATCCACTTGTAGTAATTTGATACATGATTGGCAAGTTCAATTATGTGCTGGTGTTCCTAATGGTAACAAAGGTTAATATCATGAAATTTATTTTGCTTTGTACTATTTTATTATTATTGCATGTCTATCTTTTTTTAGATACATGCTATGGAGATTCAGGTGGTCCTTTGATGATGTTTACGTCAAATAAACAATGGGTATTAGTTGGTATAACAAGTAATGGTGTTGGATGTGCACAAGCAGAATATTCTGGTGTTTATACTCGTGTAGCTGCCTTTGAAAATTGGATAAATTCAAAAATAAATGGTGCTGATTCAATTTCATGTAGTTTTAATAAGAATATTAATCGAATATTAGTTAATTATTTGACTTATTTCATTTTATCAATTATGATTATTACAGTTTAGTTTTAAAAATTGAATGTTTCTATAATTTTTATTTTTAGTAAATTTTATTTTTTTAATCTATGATAATATGTAATCAGACTTAAAGAGATAGAAAACAAGATAATAAATTCTTTGTTTAATCATTTTCGTCAGAATTTCGAACGAGTATTATCATTGGTTTTGTTTCTAATATCCAAAGCTTTCGATGATTTCACAGTGCAAAGTCAAAAATCAGAATTTCTAATAAATTAATAGTCAAACTTTATCTCACTGCACAAATCTACATTTTAAATCTTGTTGTGATAAGATGTCATCTATGCCATTAATCATAAATTGATTATTTCTTATTTTCTTCTTTCTTATATTGACTCATTAATCATTATGTTTCGAAATTGAGATGTAAAATTTGTCTTAAATTATTTTATAGCTAGAAAAAAAAACTCGAGAACAATTTATCGATCTAATTACAAATAAAAGAAAAAGACGTTTTTAGAAATATTTCTTAACATTAATCATTCAAAAAAAAAACGCATTTTTAGCGCAGGTCTTTGACGTCATATTTTATACTTCGGTCGATAAAGAAAGTCAATATGAATATAGTGAATTTCTTTTAACATGTGAAAATTACAGAACTAACAAGTTTAATAAGAGCAATGATTTATAGAAGCAAGAGAATCAAAGAAATGAACATGAACAATAACATGCATGATCACATGAATGATTGATAGATACGTATAATATGTGGCAGACAAAATTCAGATTTAGAAAAAAAATTAAAGAGTTTTTAAAAGTCTCAAAAATGAAAAATTAAGAATATAGAATTGATCTTATCTATTTATATGAAGTTATGTTTAGCTTTAGTTGAAGTCTTGTTGAATCAAGAAAATTACATAATTCGTTAGTATATTCAATTAAAACCTAGTTTGTTTTAGCAAGCTCCGATCAAAGAAAGGATATTTAAATGTATGAATATTATTATGTTAATAAGTTTTATTGAATTAAGTTTCCACCAAAAAAAAATGAAGAACTTTTTGGTTCATGTATTTCCTTTGGTAGAATAATAAATATATCCTTTTGAAATTAGATGCTAAAGTACTTTACATATTGATTTGCTTATTCGTAAAAATATTCTTGAATGTCGTATTCTCATGTTGACAAAGAAGCAATCATTCGTGCATGCATTAGAATATGAATAAGTAAAAATAAATATTAGAATTTATTATTAAATAAAATTATCTGGTAGATTTATACATAATAAAAAAAAGTATTCAACAAAGGTTATTGCCAATTTTTTTTTTCGACAGCCTTCATTGCTAGAAAGGATTCAAATAATGTCTTGTGTAGATGAAGTTGTTTCAAACAATAACATAAAGATTATTATCTGATTTCCTACGATAAGGACTCTAGAAAACGAAACACTCTAGGTTTTTTTTAGTACTTAGAATGTCTCAGTATAATTTATAGTCGAGCACATCGAAGGATTGAGCAAATAGTTTTCTACAGAATATGTCATATGCTAGTTCTCTGTGACTTTTTTTCACTCAGATATTGAAAATTTTCAATACATGCAAAATGTGAAATACACCTTTCTTTTTTCAACTTCATTTTATCAACATGAAATACGTTTAACAGATGATAGTTTCTTTCCAAAAATTATCAACCATCAAACAAACGAACCATCTTTTTGATAACAGATCTATTATGTCTACAACAGGTCTCAAGGTACTATTATCTATTTCGGTACTCTTAGAAACACTAGGAGTGATTATTTCCAAAAGTTGTAACGTGATCAGTGTATATGTTTGATGATAGTTATATGACGATTATAGCAAATAAATATATCATATAACCATTAATCTACGCAAGAATAAGAAATTATGCTATTTTGACCATATTCGAAAATTGATTCGAGGCATAACAATTTCAAGGAAGACTTTGAAATATTCTTGAACTGTCTTAATCTTGTCGTTAATACCTTTCAACGCTTCCTTTCCCACTGCCATTACTAAGAATTGAAAGGAGAAAAGAGGAGCCATAAAATCTTTATTTAAAATTAACACTCATGATTTTGGTCGAAAAAGTATATGACTTGTACAGAAGAATCACAAAGACTATCACTGTGAATTTTCTTATCGCTTTTGTACTACCGAATAAATAGAAGATTGATATTAGTTCTTTTAAGATCTAATATGTAGTACTCTATTAGAATTATAAAACTAAAATTTTTATAATTACTTTCAAAATTTTAATTAGTCATTAAAGATGAACATGTATGTCATCAATAGAGTTTGATGATTCTGGAAAGGTCGAAAAAAAAGTCAAATCGTTTTTTATTTCTATTTGATATCTTAGTCTTATAAAAATCCTAACGCATGAGAATTCTTTGTATGTTACCACGTAGAATCAGCCATAGTCATCCGATTCGAGAGATCATTACTCATCTGCTAGTAGACACAATTTGTTCGTTATCGAGGAGTATATTTTTTTTTCGAGTTTTTGCATGTTTTTCTCTCAATAGTTGAGCATGTAAGTGTTTCTTTTAGCAAATGAAGCCAGTCTTATTGATAACAATGACTATTTCTATGAAAGAGCTTAGATTATAATATTTCTATAATGTGAATCATCATGAAAATTGGCTTAATATAATTTAAGGATCAAAATTAAAATATTAAGCATGCCGAAGCTACTTTAACCATCGTAACAAACCTCATTATGTACATGACCGACCATAACGAGACTCAAAACCAACATGCTACTAAATCTACGAATGAGTCTTTCGTTAGAATCTTGGCAGATGCTGTGACTCGTGATATGGATAGTTTTGCTGTCACAGTCGTGATAAAACCCTGAAATATTTGACTTCAGAGAGTTAAACATCTTTCATTGTCTGCATACAGATGAGAGACAGAATTTTCACACAACCTAAAATCTTTACACAATTAGTCTTATGTTTTTTCTTTTTGAAAGAAATCACAGTTTTCATTGAGATTTCTTATGTGTGTTAAATCAAAGCTCTATTCTGTTGAAATGAAAAAAGGTCTATGTTTATAGTTTCAATTATGTTTTACTAAAAACATCTTGATGAGCTACTGCTGATATTGATAACATTGTCTAGATCATGTCAAGCGCACATTAGAATACGTCACAGAACCATTTCATACTATCAGTTCTAATCAATGCAATCAAATAGAACAAAGCTTTCAATCAGATTCAAAGAAATTTATGTGTTTATTGTTGATAATCAATAGCAAGAAAAAGCATTAGGGCTTAATGATTAAATAGGATTGTTTATTAAAAATTGAGAAACATCATGATGTCATTCTGTCTAAAGCAGAAGACTCGTCCATTTCTCTTTAAATACAACGGTTGCATGTACAAACGTTATTGTAACAGGCTGAACCACATTGGCATCTCCATGCTCCAGGCCATCCAGCGCACAAAAAGTCACCAGTCATTGAATTGCATGTGAAACTACGACCAACAGCTATTTCATTTGGACTTGTTGTAACTTCATCAGAATTACTACCTTCTTCACTAGATAAATCTTTACCTAGACCATACTTTTTAGCTGGACCACCAAATACTAAATCTATTTCAATGAAACAAACATGAGCATTACTTATTTTCTACGTTGTTTACTGTATAACGAAAGTGAGAAGCTTACCTGGGATCAATGCTACAGCAACGATCAAGCAGATGAAAACAATTGTGATGAATTTCATTCTTAATAATTGGAAGAATGAAGTAGTAAGTAATTTTTATATTGTGCTTACTTTTCTTATGGTTATATGATTGCTTGTACAAATGATTTGATTGAAATAAAATTGTGTTGCTTAAATTTATACTTGTAAATGCAGCATTGAAAGTACAAATTACGAAAAATATGTTAAAAGAACCTTATTTTGCATAGGTCAAGTTTAATGTATTCATTGAAATATTAGGTTTTACATTTGCGCAATATGTTAATATGATTTTAGATTTAGGAAATCCTATGCTTGAAATATTACATATTTTTTCATGCAGTAATAAATCAATCATGACGAAGAAAAAGAAGTGAACTAGAATGAAATTATAAGCAAAGTAAGAAATAGTGAATTTATAAAATTCAATATTCTTATGTGATATCAAATGAATTGTAGTCATTGATGAAAACTACTACATTAAAGTGAAATATTCATCTATCATTGATATTACTGGGGCTTTTCTACACTGCATGCATACGTTTTGAGAATGAAGAAGCGTTACTTATATTTAGCAGATTATATGAACAATTAAAAGTACTATATTTTCATTATATATAACGAGTGTTGAATAATATAGATGAAAAGAAAAAAATTCTGTATCAAATCACAATAGATATCTAGTTACAATCTTTTAGACGATGTATTTATTATTGAAACAGTTTACTATAGAAATAAACAACTTTATCAAAATAAAGACTTCAATGAATAATTAGGATATTTAAATTCAGATTAGTTCAAACTTTTTCCAGACAGATTTATAAAGTTATAAAAGTTCTCATTTCTGCTAAAATAATATCATTAAAAATCTAACAGTTTGATTTTTTTTTTCATTGTGAACTTTTCATAAACTAATTACATTCCAAAAGTTACGAAAAATTTAGTCAGACTTTAAAAAATTTCTTCATTTGATGAGATTTACAGTCCAAGTCTCTGCTATTTTCTTGTCAATAGAATAGTCTGAATTGCCAACGTGCATCAAACAGTCTTTTGCATTCTTATCAAATCAAGATAAATATTAATTATGCTTTAAAAATCATCATCTATTCCGTTAGATATCACCAATACAACATCAGCCTTGTATTCAACATCAAAGACTTTCGTGCTGCCTGAATAATTTCTTCTCCGATCTCATTTCGTTCGAGATGGAGTGCAATGAGTGTCTATATGAATTAAGAGAGAAGAAGACTCGCATGATAATAGAACGTAAATAGTTACTTTGTTAGTTTTTAGAGCTTCAATGATATGTTGTACTCCTTTTTGTCCAATTTGATTGTCATTGAGACCAAGTTTTGTGAGTGTCTATGTGAAATGAGAGAAGAACTATACGGTAGTAATAGAAAATGAATAGTTACTCTGTTAATTTTAAGTGCTTCGGCGATATATTGAGCTCCTTGTTGTCCTATTTGGTTTTCGTTTAGGCCGAGTTTAATGAGTGTCTTTGTTAAATGAGAGAAATATATAATGATAATAGAGAGAGAATAATTACTTTGTTGGTTTTTAGAGCTTCAGCAATATGTTGAGCTCCTTGATAGCCAACCTCATTTCCGTTGAGACTGAGTAAATAGAGTGTCTGCGTGAAGTTAGAAAAGTAGTAAGCCATAGTAATAAAAAGAGAATAGTTACTTTGTTAGTTTTTAGAGTTTCAGCAATATATTCAGCTCCCTTTGGTCCGATTTGATTGTTTGCAAGATATAATTCAGTGAGTGTCTGCATGAAAATAAGAAAAGGCATGTATGATAGTTATACAAAAAGAACAATTACTTCATTAGCTTTTAGAGCTTCAGCAATATGTTGAGCTCCATATTGTCCGATTTGATTTTCGTCAAGGGCGAGTTTGGTGAGTATCTGTATGAAATGAAAAAAAAATTCTGTGATGGTAATAAGAAAGACAGCAATTACTTGGTCATTTCTTAGAGCTGCTGCAATATACTGAGCTCCTTGTTGATTGATTAGATTTTGACTGACGTCAAGTAAAGTGAGTGTCTGTGTGAAGTGAAAGAAAAAGAAGACGATGAGAGTGAGGATGATAGCATACATACATAGAGAGCATCTATCGGACAAGAGTAAGAGCAGAGATACACATAGAGAAAGTAAGATCTAGCAGATTCTGGTAGAATGTTAAAGATATGGCTATATCTTACTAGTAAATCTATACTTTCTCAACCAAGATATGACTTAATTTATCTCCAAGAAAAAGTTTTCCTATGAAAAGACTATAGAAATCTCGAATTTTTGTGATTATTTTTCTTACCTAATGGGCTCTATTCTACCTGGATTAATTAAATTCATTACTGTGAAATAAAGAAAGATCTCCTATATCCATATTATTGAATCACTGATGAACATCAATAAAAAAAAAACTATAAAAATTGTCAAAAAATTTTTAATATTCATGATATTTGAAACTAGTATTAACTGAAAACGAATAAAACAGAAGTTATCAATTTACGTCGAAATGTAGATCTATCTATCTATTATTGATGTTTAAATGGATAATTGTGTCTTGGACTTCTTTGTACTAATAAATTAGTTGAATCGACTTTCTTTTTTCCGTAAGTCAAGAATAAAATACTGATCAGATTTACTTTGACTCGTTAATGAAAATTTTAGTAGCCTTAGAAAATAACATGAATTCTATCATAAACTGTTTGCAATTATTTGCACACGCAATAATATATATCTTTTAATCGTTCTCACAGTCCGCATTCCTATTTTCATCACGGTTCTTATTTCCAAACTATTCACGAAACGCAACAACTTTAATGAAATATTTTTGTACCGTGCTTTTTCGTAACGCATTAGCAACAATCTTCATATCAGCATCGGTCAAACGTCTAAGCTTTAAATCAAGTTCTGGATTTGTTCGGTTATCAGTAATAAATTCTTCAAGTTGCGGATTATGATATCGTAGAACTTCAACATATCTTCCACATTGAAGAATTTTTTCTTTTAAACTAGGAAATTTATGGATTCCTTCTAAAAAATACTCAGTTATAGTTGGCATTGGTAATAATTTTAATTTTTCATTTGTTTCATTCACATAATCATCAAAACCTTCTTTGGCTTCTAATAGTTTTGTATGATTTTTGATTGATGAAAACATTTCAAAAAATATTTTTTGCATATTCAAACGTTGCAATTCATTCGTCAAGGGAATTTTATAATCTTCAATTCGTTTTTTTTGTTCTTTTTCAGTATTTGAAATATTTTGTAATATGTTCTTCTCATGTTCATCAATAACCCGACGTATTTCTGCCATAGTTTCAATCATTTTTTGTCGACTAGATTTACTATTATTATCAATTATATTTAATAATATATCTGCTTGATTAATTTTATAATGTAAAGATGATTGAATACTTTGTAAATTAATATTTATCTATATCATAAAACAAATACAATATTATACTTTCTTATATTCTATAGAACATATGCTAACCTTAGTTTTAAATCCTTGTATGACATCGTCTAATAAAATATAATTGTGATCTTTATGTTGAAATAATAAACAATCAATACATATAAGTTTTGAACATATAAGACACCAATATTCCAATGATTTTTTTGGATGTATTATACATGGAATAGCTTCTGGTGGTTTTTCATCCTTGGAAAGACGTTGATGTTTTTGCATGACTGGAGGTGTATGAACAGTTTCATAACATGATGAACAAAAGTTTTCATTTTCACATTTGTTACATGCATATTTAGCCTTGACCATACGACAATTAGTGCATCGATTTAGTTCTTCGATTGAAGCTAAAAAATTAATATGACTAGACAATAATAACATATGAAAAACTATGTATATATTGTATAGAAAACACTTCTATCTTGTAGGAAAAGAGCATGATGTCGATTCAAAATAGTATTATAAACTATTTTGCTTACCGTGTAATTCTACTAAATCACGTATTGCTTTGTTAAGAGGTAATGAGCGGATATTTTTTTTCATTGCCACAAATCCATCTCGTAGTGGACATTCAAATTGGTCTTTATTCTCAGAAGCCATACGTTCAATGCATTGTCGACAATAAGTATGCGAACAAGGTAATAGACGTGGATCTTTGAAAGATTCTCGACAAATCGTACAGGTAGTTAATTCTTCAACAGTAATACTTTTATTAGTTGCCATATCAATAGGTTAATAATAAGTCTATGTAAGATGAAAGATTTTTAATCTAAAATTAATAAAATAACACCATAATGTAATGAGAATTTTCGAAAAATCGAATTTGCATTCCTTATTTGCTAAATGTGTGGCATCCTTATCATATTGAACTGCTTTAGTAAAATGAAATTTCGCCATGGACTCAGTCAGAGTAGAAGAAGTGTAGATTTTATATGGTCATCATTGATACTGTCTCAAAGTTCATACAAGCATCACTCATATCTCTATGATGATTTAATCATTAGTAAAAAATATCGTTCGTTGTAAGCAACGAATATTTTTTTTTATGGCTTGATTTTCATTTTCTTTTACATTATATGATTTGTTCTATCTTTGAAAAATTATCAAACCTACTGTATAACTATGACTGAAGTTAAATAGTATATTTCAATCTGAAGAGACAACATATGTAATAGAGACTAATTGGGTCTTTGTTTTTTTTGTATAAACTTGAAGTTCATTGTCTTTTTCATACTTGATTTTTTTTTCTTACTTTTACATAAATTCGATGATGTTGATGGACTTTCATTGTTTTGAATAAACTCAAATGAATGAAAACCACTAAGTTACTACTAGATATATTTCATAACGAGAAAGAGAACAGAAGAAATATTTTTTTTTTGGTCATAATTTCATTATGCTTAGATTCCATCAATGTATGGATACATAAAAAATTTACATATTTTTGTTATTGAAACAATAAACAAAAAAACAAAGAGAAAATTGTTTTTTTATTTTTCAATCGTTCATGTGATTAATGAAGACATAAAAGCTAACAACAATAGGCTTACCTCGTTTTTTTTTTTTATTCGAATTTCATAGAATAAAAGAATGTATGAAAATGAAAATTTCGTTAGATAAAAGAATATTACATTTTAATACCACCGGAATTATATACTAACAGTTTTTTGTTTTTTCTTTGAAATAGTCCTATAGAAACAACATTATTTTTATTGTTGTTTAATCTAACTAAGATATTTTCAATATTCACCTTGTCATAGCAAGTTTTTCACTTAATATATAACTATGAACAAATCTCACAACTAACTAATACTTATATACAAATTTTACGGTTAAATTCGTAAGAAAAAAAAAACGAAAACACAATACATTATTTGTTTGTTTTTTTTTTTAATATTACAAAAAAAAAAATTATTTATTTTCTTGATTTAATTTTTTGATTACATTAACTTCTTCTAATGTTCCTAATCGATAACCATATATATCTGGTATCATTAATGAATTTGTACCATAATAAAGAATTGGTCCAATATCACCATCCGAATGATAATAGATACCAGGTGCTCGAAAAAATTCATATAAATTCCATTTTATAGATGATATATTTTCCTTATTAATTGTTTGTTGTGAATCTTCTAACATCTAACAAATAATTAAGAGAAAAAAGAAACAATTTAGAAATTTTCTTTTTTTTTTTAAATCATTTTTATACCTTAGTAATTAATGTTAAATCGATAGGTAAATTTATATGTTTAAAATCCAATGTTAAATAATGATTTGTATCTATATTTAAATATGCACGACATACAATTAAAACTAAAGTTGTTGCTAATGCATCTTTTCTTGAAGATTTTTCCTTTAATGAAACTTTAACTGTTTCACTATTTAATGTTTTAATAATAAATGCCATGGCAAATGTAACAATTTTCTTGAATGTATCATTTTCATACGAAGATAATATTGGTTGTTGTTGTTGTTGTTGTTGTTTAGCAGAAACTATACGATGATTACTAGAACAGCACCATGATGAAGATGGTGGTATATTTGTAACAGGTTTATCATAGATAATATTATCATTATTAAGTTTAAGACAAATAAGTTGTGAACGATAACGTGTACATAAATGTCGAGCAACAAGTTGTGCAACATCTAATTGATCAGTTATATCACCAATATTTCCAATGGATTTTAATTTCATTTTAATAATATCATAATCAATATTTTGAAGTATTTTTGTATTGATTTTACCATCATTATTTAATATAAATTCAATTTCAGGAATAGATGTTTTATTTTCACCTAATAATTGTATAATTTTAATAACTCTAAATAAGATATAATATTATGAGAACAATTTATGAAACTATATCGAATATATGAAGTTGTACTAAAAAAAGTTTGACTTAAATATTTGTTTACTAATTAATCGAAAAATAAAAATTTTTCTAACATAATTCAATTTGAATTTCTCTGATTTTTCATTCTCAATCATTTTCTCTAAGTTCACCGAAACATCGGAAAGCTGTGAACATGTGCTTCTCGAAGCTCACACTACGTAGATGTGAGCAGTAGCACAAAGCAATTTTTTTTTCCATCTCTGCTCTGTATAGTATTAAAATAGCTCGATACATTGTATGCTCATAATTTTTCTTTTAAAAACATGCAAAATCTTTGACTTACTTATTTGATGTATCTTCAACATTATTAAGAATTGTATTACGATCAAGATTTAATATAGCTATAGCTACAAGTATATTTGATAGATCAATACGTAATCGTTGATAGAATATTAATTGATTTTTATATTTATCTTCAATATCATTTTGTAATGTTTCTTCATCAATATTTTGTTTTCTTCGATTTGTTTCCATACGAATTAATTTACTAACAGAATTTGAATCTAAATATGGTTCAAGTTTATCTAATTCCATTTTATTTTTTATATCTAAAAGATATGTTTTCCAATGATATACAGCATCTTTATATTTAGATAATATATTATAAAATTTTAAATGTAATTCATGTGCTTGTATAAAATTATTCATTTTTAAATGACAAAGTATCATAAGTGCATGTGCTTGTGGATATAAATTTTTTGTATCAATTTCAATTGTAGCACAATATTCAAGAATAGCTTGTTCATAATTTATTAATTTTGTTTTTAAATTTTTCTTTCGATTAATTAATCCATCAAATGCCATAGCTAATTCAAGATGAGTACGTGGTGATGAATCTTTATTTTTAATTTCTTCACGTAAGATTTTTATACGTTTTGCAAGCATTGTTATTATAGATATATCAGATTTATTAAGTTGTATTGCACGTTTTCGATCATGTGCAGCATTATTAAGTTTACCAAGATGTTCATTAATAATAGCTCGTTGAAATAGAATATCACTTTGTTGAGGAGATAATTCATATGCACGATTTATTAATTTAAAAGCTTCTTTATATTGTCCTTTTTCTGTTTGTATCATAGCTAAATGATAATATGCTTGAGCATGATAAGGATGAAATGTAATAGCACGTGATAACCAATAAAATGCTTGTTCTTTATTATTTAAAGCATATTCACTAAGACCATATCGAAAACAAATATCTGACTGTTGTGATGGTTTAATACTGAGTGTTAAAGCTTTTTTATAATCTTCAATAGCTACATTATGTTTATTTAATTCAGATAAAACAATACCATGTTGTAATAATGCTTCAACA